GCAGTGGTGGGTGGACATCAGCTTGGTTTCACCCAAGAGTAAATTCTTGGTGAGGTGATTTCCATTACAAAATCTATGGGGCAGCTGACTTCTTAAGGACTATTTCTGAACCTTGCAAATACAACCACCATTTCTCTTGCTCCCAGTCACTCTCCCCTTTACTCCTAGTAATTTCTCTTTATCTGTAAATAACTGTGGTCACTTCAGAGCATGTTACACACTCTCTAGAGCCCCAAGTAACACATAAACTGCCCTGACATCTCCAGGGCAAAGCCCCACTCTCTCTTCACGTAGAGAACCCCTTTCTAGAGCAGATGCCCTCCACGATGGCTGGTAAGGCAAGACAAGTGATACATTAAATGATATTTTTGATGATACATCAATGTGATGCACTGATCTGTATTAAAAGATCAAATAGAAATTGATATGTATAATTGTGTCATATTTACTCTAAGGTTTTTTGGGAGACCAAGCACATTTCAGGCAATGACTGCAGATTGCAGACCAATCTGTTGACCTTAGCCTAATGCCAGTTGGGAAATCAGGTGAGAAAACACAGAGGTAGACACTTCAGAAACAGCTTTTCAATAGGAAGCTCTAGTTCCTCTTTCCTCACCTCCTAGTAGTTAAACACAGAAAAATAAAAGGAAGAAAGGAAAGGTGAGAAGGAGGAAAGGAGGGAGAGAGGGAAGAAGGAAGGAGAGAAGGAAGGGAAAGGGAGGAGATATAATCATAAAAGCAGACAGATGCACCCCTATTTTTTATCGCAGCACTATTTAAATTTACAATAGCCAAGAAATGGAAGCAACCTAAGTGTCCATCAGTAGATGAATGGATAAAGAAGGTGTGGTACATATACACAATGGAATATTATTCAGCCATAAGAAGAAAACAAATCCTACCATTTGCAACAACATGGATGGAGCTAGAGGGTATTATGCTCAGTGAAATAAGCCAGGCGGAGAAAGACAAGTACCAAATGATTTCACTTGTATGTGGAGTATAAGAACAAAGAAAAACTGAAGGAACAAAACAGCAGCAGAATCACAGAACCCAAGAATGAACTAACAATTACCAAAGGGAAAGGGACTGGGGAGGTTGGGTGGGAAGGGAGGGCACAGGGAGGGCTGTGCAACACAGAATAGACAAGTAGTGACTCTACAGCATCTTATTACACTGATGGACAGTGACTGTGATGGGGTATGTGGGGGTGGGGGGGACTTGGTGAAGGGGGTAACCTAGTAAACGTAATATTCCTCATGTAACTGTAGATTGATGATACCAAAATAAAATAAATAAATAAATAAATAAATAAAAGCAGAGGGAGGGAGAATGGAAAAGGAAAGAGAGAATCTCTCTACTATTAAAAGTGGGGGAAGAACTCTGTGTCTGTAGAGCACCTCTCACATGCTGAAGGCTCGGCGAACAGAAGAGTAGACAGTCAGAAGACTCTTTATGGAACTTTGTGATAGAAACTGTCTCTGGAGTTACCCCGTCTTGGCATGTTTACTCAACAGTGCTAAACTATGATCTGGATAATGAATGCTACTGAGATGCTTTGACTTTCTAAATCAACTGCCAGTTGGGTGAGTGAGCGGGTGAGCTAAGGACATCTGGTTGCCACTGCTTCACGCTGGGAGTCCCTTTTTGACAGGTGCATACAATTTATTGCTGTAGTGAATGGTCATCTAGGCACTATCTCAGCACCCTAATTGTTCTTCCTCCCCTAGACCTTTCTAACAAAAGCCCTTCCCATGTTCATCTTACAGTTTTATAAAGTCAAATTATATTCCTTACACACATTCTATATTAGGGCTATATTCCCCCTGCTTTATGATCTTAATGCACAGTGGTCAATGTTCTGAGATCTCTTCAAAATGAAGACAGGTTCATTACATGGTTGGGTGGATAGGAGAGAGAAGCCTGCAGTAAGTGCCCCTCTTTGTTATACTACCAAAATAATCCCCTTTATTGAGGATAAATGCCTTTATGTTCTTTAAAGCAGGAACTTTTATATTTCTCCTTGAGGAATTGGATTGCTTTTATCTAAAAGACATTCTGAATTGTGTATCTGATCAAGTTTCCCTCTATGCATTTTGGTTGGATAAAAAGCATAAAGCCTCCAGAATATGAGAAGTCAAATCACAGACTGGGATGAAATATTTGCAAAAGACATCTGATAAAGAACAGTTATCCAAAACTTATTAAAACTCAACAAGCAGATGAACAATCCAATTTAAAAATGGGCAAAAGACCTAAACAGACAACTCACCAAAATAAATATACAGATGGCAAGCCAGCATATGAAAAAAAGATGTTCAACATCACATGTCCTTAGGGAATTTAAAATAAATATAAGATATTACTATACAACAATCAGAATGGCCAGCATCCAAAACACAGACACCAAATGCTAGCTAGGATGTGGAGCAATAAGAACTCTCTTTTATTGCTGGTTGGAATGCAAAATGGTACAACCACTTTGAAAGACAGTTTGACAGTTTCTTACAAAACTAAATATACTCTTACCATAGAATATGGTATTCACCCAAAGGAGGCGAAAACTTAATCCCACCTAAACTGGTGCACAGACATTTACTGCAGCTTTATTCAGAATTGCCACAACTGGAAAGCAGCCAACATGTCCCACACTATGCGAATGAAACAAACTGTGGTACATCCAGAAAATGGAATATTATTCAGCACTGAAAAAAATGAGCTATGAAGCCATGCAAAGACATGGAGGAAACTTAAGTGCACATTACTAAGGGAAAGAAGCCCATCTGTGAAGGCTACATACTGTATGATTTCAACTACATGAAACCCTTGAAAAGGCAAAACCATGGAGACAAAAGAAATATAAGTGGTTGCCAGAGGTTGGGGGAGGAAGGTGGGTCAATAGAATTAAAATAAATTTTTAAATAATTTCCTAAAACAAAATTTAGTTTGGTTAATATACATTCCTTTTTATCATAAGAAGAAAACAAAGTAACACATAAAACACATCAGGGAATCTGAATTATGTAGCAAAGAAAGCCCTTTGCTGATTTTCTGAGCTTTCTAATAGCTATTGACCTACCACATCTTGCGACATATCCTATGTTGTGACCATTCTCCTGAATGTTGGACCATAACGTGAAGTGATGGTCAGATCCCCCTCTCTCTACTTTTTCTGAAACAAATAAGGATTTTACTTCCTCTTGACTGACTGTATATTTGCCTTCTCCCCCAGATTATTGAGGGAATGGTCCTCCATTCCTGTTTAACTCTGCCCGTCACCCAGGACTCCATGTGCCACAGGGCTCTTGCTACAAGCATGTCCACTGACAATTTACTCAGACTTGTGCCAAACTGGGTGTGTTTTTTTTAATGTAGTTATGATACAATTTCACACTTACAATGAAGTTTAAAGAAATTCTATATAACTTTCAATCAGATCCCTCAATAACTATCATTTGCTTCTTTATTTCACATATATATTTCATGAATCATTTGAGAGTAAGTTGAGACATGATGCCCCTGTACTCCTTAATACTTCATGGCATATTTCCTAGTAAAGGAGATTTTGTCTTTCATAACTTCAGTATAATTATCAAAATCAGGATTTTTAACACTAACTGAATACAGGATATATTCCATATACATTTGAAAGAGAGAAATGGAGACAGAGAATTAATACTGTTAAAATGTTCATACTACCAAAAGCAATCTACAGATTCAATGCAATGCCTATCAAAATTTCAATGGCATTTCCACAGAAATAGAACAAACAATCCTAAGATTTGTATGGAACCACAAAAGACCTCAAAGAGCCAAAGCAATCTTGAGAAAGAAGAACAAAGCTGAAGGCATCACACTTCCTGACTTCAAAATGTATTATAAAACTACAGAAATCAAAACAGTATGGTATTGGTATAAAAGCAAACACATAGATCAATGAAACAGAATACAGAGAACCCAGAAACAAACCCACATATGTGTGGTCAGTCAGTTTATGACAAAGGAGCCAAAAATGTAGAAGGAGAAAAACAGTCTCTTCAACAGATAGTGTTGGGAAAACTGGACAGCCACCATGCAAAAAAGAAAAACTACACCACTATCTTACACCATACAAAAAAATTAACTCAAAATGGATTGAAGACCTGAAATCATAGAAGTCCTAGAAGTAAATGTAGGCAGTAAGTTCCTTGACATCAGTCTTGGAGATGATTTTTTGAATTTGACACCAAAGCAAAGGCAACAAAAGTGAAAATAATCAAATGGGATGATATCAAACTAAAAAAGCAAAGAAAAAGATTAACAAAATGAAAAGTTAACCTACCAAAAGGGAGCAAATATTTGCAAATCATATGTCTGATAAGGGGTTAATACCCAAAACTTATAAAGACCTTATACAACTCAATAGCAAAAAAAAGTTTTTAATTATTTTTAAAAATTTCATTTAAATCTTTTCAGAGGATCTAAATAGATATTTTTCCAAAGGAGACATCCAGATGGCCAACAGGTACATGAAAAGATGCTTGACCTGATCTCTAATTATCAGGGAAATGCCAACCAAAGCACACTGAGACAGTACCTCACACATGCTAGAATGGCTGTTATCAAAAAGACAAGAAATATTAAGCATTGGCAAGGATCTGGAGAAGGGAATCCCTGTGTACTGTTGGTGAGAATGTAGATTGGGGCAACCACTGTGGAAAACAGTGAGGTTCCTCAAAAAAATTAAAAATAGAACTATCATATGATCCAGCAATTCTACTTCTGGGTATTTATCCAAAAGAAACAAAAACACAAACTTAAAAAGATATATATATACTACAATGTTCACTGCAGCATTATTTACAATAGTCAAGGCATGGAAGCAGCCTAAGTGTCCATGTATGGATGAATGGATAAAGAAAAAGTAGTATGTGTGTGCATATACACACAATGGTATGTTATTCAGCCATTAAAAAAGAAGAAATCTTTCCACTTGCAACAATATGGAGGGATCTTAAGGGCATTATGCTAAGTGAAATAAGTCAGACAGAAAAAAATAAAGTATCTCACTTATGTGTGGAATCTTTAAGAAAAAAATACAGACACAAAGAAGAGATGTGGGCAAGGGGGGGACAAAATGGGTAAAGGTGGTCAAAGGAACAAACCTCCAATTATAAATAAGTCCTGATGATGCAATGTAAAGCATGGTGACTGCAGTTAATAATATTGCATTGTATATATGTGTATAGGTAGATTGAGATATATAAAGTTATTAAGAGAGTAAAGCTTAAAAGTTCTCACAAGAAAAAAGATTTGAACTATGTGTAGTGATGGATGTTAGACTTACTGTTATGATTTTGCTGCACACATACCAAATTATTTTGTACACCTGAAACTAATATGTCGATTATATCTCAAAAATGATAAATATTTTGTCCCTTTTAAAAAATAAAAACATAGGTTGTTTTGTTAAAATAACTTCCTCAAAGGAAGGAATACCAGATTCAAAGAGTCTTCTTTATTAGCCCAATTTCAATTCTAACACAAGTGACTGGGCCTAAGATTTTTCTATTCTTTGCCAGTTTCTTGAGGATGTAAAAAAATCACTTTTAGAAATTATGTAGAGCAAATTATAAATAAAATCATATTGCTCTTATCTCTACCCCATTCTTGCTGAATACTTAGCTGAAGAGAGTTTAATTCTTTGGATCACACTTCAAGTTCTGTAATTAAAAGACCCTCCATATTTGTATTATAAACTAACTGAGACATGCATTCAATCCAGACTTGCAGCAAATCTTTATCCATATTGAAAACCAGATGGAGAAATTGGCTATTTTATAGTATCCAACAAGTCTTCTTTTGGTGTTCATATGCCTAAAGTAAAAACCCACAGCCTGCTGTATACCCCTAGTGAAGAGATGCTTAGAAATCAGATTTTTCCAGATTTTCCCTTGTTTCCCTTCTAAACTATTCTTAAAACATTAACCAGCTTGATAGTACCCCAAATAAGCAAACACAGGGAAACCCCTTCCAAATGTAGCTTTGCACCTATGCCATAGGTAATTTCATTTTACCACCTTGTATAGTCACAAATGTTTAACTATTAGTTTGTACACAAATTGGAAAAAAAGATCAATGAACTGCCCTCCTGTATAACTTATTGCTCAGGAGATGGCCATCATAAAAGATTTGGCAACTAACCCTTACTGTCCGGAAAGCCCTACATATGGTTCATCTCCTGCTAGTGTGCCCTAAATCAGAACCTTAAAGAGAAGTAGGGAGGGAAGCTCAACTTAATGTTCTCATTACAGAAGACAAACGGTAAAACAGATGGTAGGATATAAAGCAATTCCAGCTCTTTATCACTTCGTTTCTTCCAGAATTAAACACTTAGACCACAATGATTTTAAAATATATCCATGAAAAAGGCAGGAAAATCATAAAAGGCATGCAAATTTTCATGGAATGCAAGCCACAGTCAAGGGGATGGGATTCATCTGGGCCTCAGTAAAATCAAAGAGTGTGGAGATTGATCTTTTAATACAAAATTAACATGTGACCCAAAGATCTCTGGTGCTTTCTGGTACTCAAATGGAAACTGTTGTAGCAAGTAAGATATTTTTTTAAGGCTGAATGAACCCTCATCTGTCTGACAATCTTAAATTTATGCCACAATTTTTTTAATGCTCCTTTTGATAGGAAGAGTCATGAGCAGCTGTAGGTTAAGCAGACTTTAACACCCTCAGATTCAATTGCACTGTGAAATTTCACTGTGAAATACAGTCTGCGATCCCTCTGCAGAAAGACATGAACCAGTCCTAGTCTAGAGACGCAATAGGGTAGTGAAAAAGACAGTGGAGATGAGGAGAGAATGAATGGGAAAAGGCAGAAGAGCAAAGAAAAACTTGGATGTTGGGTGCCTAAATCATTGCTGTGAATGAGCCTGTAGCATACTTATGGAAAGAACAGAAATACACTATAAATACAAACTGTACCAGCATGACACTCCTACACAATTGCTGCTGCAACATAATTAATGTGGTCTTAAAATTATTTCTTTCCTAAAGCAAGAGCAACATCAAGTGATTACAAAAGTGAACTGACTTCAAAGAAAATGGATAATTATGCTACAATCTTAAGAACCATGAAAGTCAAGCATAATAACAATGGCAAATATAAGGCTAGGGTAAAGTTTGTGCAGATTTGCTTGCAATCCACTATGAAATTTTGGGGTTTCTTAAGCTTAAGAGTTCCTCAGCAGGAACACAAACCCACTGCACATTTATCCACATAGGCTGTTCCATGACACCCCTGTGGCACGTGGAAGGACAAGAATAATTGTACAAACGTGAAGCTCATGTTCCTTGTTGTGCAACAATTAATAAAGTACTTTGTCTCTGACCCAAGAAGTTCATGTCTTCTGCCAGCATCTGTGAAACCACAGCAGGCTAACTTGTTAGCTGACAAGTAGGGCAGAATCTCAGACCCTTTGCACTTCTTGTGATAGATGTAGTTTTCCCATTTGTCATTTATTCTGGAAAAGAAATGAAGATGGTTAAACAAGAGCTGAAATATTGTCAGTTTCAGAAAAATACAAACCCCAAGACTATTGTTGTTTTGGATACAACACAAAAGCAAATACAGTCCTTAAAAAAAAGAGCACTGTGTAGTGTATATTGGGGTGCACTGCCCAGATTCCCCCTTCAACTCCAAGGCAGTCATTCTCCCAGTTGCCAGAACACTTGGCTATAACAGCAGACGGAATCTGCCTCACCAAATGTTGCTTTCTCCCCAAGGGCAGCCTGCATTCAGTGATGGGTACAAAGGCTTAAGCTTTGCTTCAAGACACCACCAAAAGGCCATCTTAGATCCACAGCCCCCTTAGGGATCACCAAGGCCACTGTTAAAACTCTATCATAGTTGAACTCCTCCCTCTGCCTGAGGCGGCTTCCTTCACTTCTAGACAAGTATTATTTATGAGAAAATCATCCAACATACCTCCTGCATGGAAATCTTAGAGTCCCAGAGTTGGTTCTCAGGATGCTGACCTGAGATGGGAAAAGCATTTGCTTCTGAATATCCACAGGATTCTCACCAACACTTTGTGACTCCGCCTAGACCCAATAGAGTCCTCTGCTATTTACAACTGTCTCACCCTCACATATGCTCAAATTCCAGGCTAATCCACTAATAATCAAACATTCAGCATTAGGAAATTTTTAGAGGCCACCAAAGGGCATACACGCACTTGAGATCAGTTTCTTTGAAGACTTCCTGGATGGAGATGGAAATCACAGGATATTAAGTAAAGGCATCAAGACAGATTAAGTAAAGATTTTGCATGAGTTTACATCTCCTGAGCTGTGTGCATTTCCTAATATGATGGTCTAAGAGAACAAATTAAAAGCTATTTGGGTACTGGCACCAGCAAATACAGAACAATTATCTGACCCACACAGCCAGAATAAACAGCCTATAATAGTAGACCTTCCTCTCATTTTGTTTCCCATTACATTAAAGATTTTTTTTTAATAGAAGCAAAGTTCCTTTGCCTGAAAGATCTGAATGCTGGGACCTTGATGACTTAAATTAAAATCATCAATTATGTGGGTGTTTTTAAAAATTCCAAAACCTTGTGCGTGGGACCTAAAGGGCATCTTGAAAGGAGTATAGAAAACCGTTCTTTGTCAATGTTTATTTACTGAAGAATTCTGCTTTGACAAAACAGGAATTGGGTTTCTACCTTTCTACTAACAGCTAACAGAGCTGGAAAAGCAAAAGGCACTTGAGTAATTTTTTTTTCCTTAAAAAGCAAAAGTAAAAGCACCAACTCTTCAACCTCAGAACAGAAAAATCTGCTTACTATCAAAAATAAAAGTTCACTCAAAGGTAAATTAGAGTCAATTGCCGGTCTTTTCAGGCAAAAGAAAGAACAAATGCATAAGTCACTGGCCTTGTTACAGCACAGTGTTTATAAAACATTTAATGCAGTGTTTCCTTGCCAATTAAGAGTGAGTATAGGATTTACCTTTCAGCTTTAATATCTTTGCCTGACTTTACACTAGTAATATGAGCCAAAGGGATTAAGGAAACCATTGAATACATATTTCTGCAAAACTGTCTTCACTAGAATTTATCTTCAGGGTAAAAGAAAATGAGATTAGGGCCGTGAAGTGGGAATAGGCTGGATTTCCTTGAGATATAATTGGTGCAACTTGAAATGTATTTGTGTTTCTAATGTCGAAGGCTGATTATCCGGCCATTCCAGAAATTCTCTGAGCTACCTAAGATCCTTTAATAAAGCCCTTTCTTTTATAACTAGCAAGAGCTGATTCAAACAGAACAATAAGCCACAGAGTAACTGGTGCCAAAAAGTTTGTAGTCAACAGACCCCCAAAGAAATCGGAATCTTCGATGGATTTTCTTCCTGGGTTCAGTTTGAAGGCAGTAAAGATCCCACGACTTCTAAAGGACTAGTAGTCAATGTTACAGGGAGCAAAAGTGCTCCTTACATGACCACCCTTAGTAACCTGGAGTGTAGCACCTACTGTTAGCAAGACCACAAGATCTTCCTCTCAGGAGAGCTTAAGGAAGAAAAGGCCAGGCTCAATATTTAAAATTCTTCACCTACGTCTTGCAGTTGCTTGACTGAGATCACTGGAGGTCAGACACACAGTGTGACCTTAATTTGCACAATTGCAAGGTAGGTTGATTTCACAGGCCTTCCCTTCAGTACAAGTTAGGGAACTGACTGACAAAGAATGAGGCCCTAAGAGCCATTCCCCTGGTACCTCCAAACCTTCAAAACCAAGAATCCCTTTGCCAAATGAAGGAGTTCCCTCTACCACTAAGTTAAACCTGTTCCAGACTTCCTACAGGATGCTTGATTGTAAAACACCTCACCTAAGGTAGTCACTTCTCAACAGGACCTTCTCCCCATGTCCCAGTCTCCACTGCTTCTACACCTAAAACTAGAGATATATTCCAGCATGTCTCTGAGCTAAATTACAAAGTCAAGCCAGGAGTATATACAACAAGAAGTATTACAAGAAGTGGTTAATTTCTACTTACCAGATATCTGGAGAATAAATGGGTAAATGAATTACAAGGATGCTAGATTAGAGAGAGAACAACATTAATTTTAGATTTACTAAAGTTATGAAGATAGAAACAAATGTCAAAAATGCTGGACCCAATATACTAGTTCTTGGTAACCTGGGTCACTTCCAACATCTTTCTTAGTTGCTTAACTCAAATCTGGACTCAATGGTGACCTGTGCTATATGAGTCTGAGATACCAGATTATATGATGTAGTAGGGGAAAAAAAATACAAAGATCTAGAGAGGCGACAATAATAAACTAAAATTACCATACACAACTTACTTATCTATACGCAATTATGTCTCCCAAGAAGGCCCAAGGTCTTTACCACAGCACTGAAAAATATTTAAATGTTGAAGTCTTTGAAAAGCACCATAAAGGTTGAATTCTGTGGACAAGATAAGTGGGATGGCTGCCTTTTCAATGCGTCCCATTATTTCAATATGGTTATGGAATCCCGAATGGAAGAGGCCAACAGAGTCCATCACAAGAGGCAGGATAGGCTTGCTAACCATTAATAAGCAGGAAGGCCAGAGGAGACAAGAACTTAACTTGCTTAATGGAGTTTACTCCCAAAACCACTTTGTTAATGAGAGGTCATCAACGTCTGTGTAACTCTGACTAAAATGTACATATCCAGGTAAACAAGGTCAAAACATCTCCTGGGTGACAACAGCTTTGGGATTCGAACACTGAGATCAATGTGAAGGAGTCAGTTGTCCTGAATATGGGAGACAATGCAAATGATCATTTCCCCAAAGAAGGTAAAGGCCAAGCTGACTTGCTATGTCTATTGACCCAGAACTGGGTTAGGGTTTTATCAAATACTTTCTAAAATTATCATTATTATCAATTATCTCTAGAATGATCCTGAGGGGAAAGTTTGATTCAGAAGTCTCAGAAAGACCTAAAAACATACCCAAATCTTCCTTAATTTACCTGTGGGGTACCACTCAAGTCAGAAATTGTTACTCCAGAAGGGGTCTGTTAATTTCAAAATAATTGTAAACAGTCTCAAAAATAACAAAGAAAAAGACTATTTGATACCAAAACCCATGGGCTACAGATAAAGCTATACTCAAAGCCAAAATTATACCATTATGCCTTAAACTTGTGCACATTAAAAATAAGCACTAACTGCAACACACAGAAGACAAGTAGTGATTCTACAGCATATTACTACGCTGATGGACAGTAACTGTAATGGGGTTTGTGAGGGGGGACTTGGTGAAGGGGGAAGCCTAGTAAACATAATGTTCTTCATGTAATTGTAGACTAATAATACCAAAATAAAAAAATAAGCACTAACTGTAAGAATTTAGAACGCAACATAAAAAAATACCAAACTAAAGGAGGGAATTATTAGAGATAAAATTTTGATCAGAAAGCAATAACAACAAAGAATATATAAAACCAAAAGCTGTTTCTCAGCAAATTTAATTTCTGCAATTATTTTTCACAATACATAAACCCCTGGCAAACCTGATTGGTTAATCAAAAAAGAGAGAAAGCAAAACAATGTAGCCTTAAGATAAAAAGGTGATAACCACAACTATTTTTTGTTTTTAATTGTGATAAAACCACAGGCTTTTTAAAGCAATTTAAAAATCACAAAAGGATATACATGCAAATTTATGGAAACTGTTGCAGACCCATTGCAGATTCTCAAGACCACACCTGCCTCCTGGACCACCCAGGACCTCAGTTCGCCCAGCCGCACTGCTGTGGCCACCCGGCTTCATCTGCAGACATCTCTGCGTGTCCTGTTCTCTCCTGAGGCAAGTGTCAGGTTCTGGCGACACGGCCTCCCTCACGCTTTCCCCCTCGTGCCAGGAGCCACAGAAGCTCTGGCCCCCTCAGCACAGCTCACTCAGATCCACGTAGGCTCTGATTCCTAGTATCACTTCTGAAATCCAACAGACTCCAAAAAAACTGGCATTCCATGGGGGTGGGATCAGGAGCAGCCGAGAGGCCAGGTGGTGCAATATGGAAGGGTGGGTAGGCAGTGAGCTCCGTGGGGGGCAAACACTGACCAATGAGAGAAATGAGATGGGAGGGTGCAGGCCGATAAATCCATCTGCCTTCCTCCCTCCAACAGACTGTTTAAACACCTATTTTCTGTACAGCCTGCCTGGAGACGTCCTGTCTGAATGAGTGGCGTACCCTTCACCCTTCAGAAAGCAGTGGGCAGCTTGGTAACGTTCACCTTCAGTTGCTTTCAGTCCTGCCCTGTCTCCCTTTTCCCTCCTTCCACCGTCTCGGGATTGCACTCCCAACAAAACGTGACCACTCAAGCCTTTCTCCAGCCTCTGCTTTCTAGGAAGGCCAAGCTGACAGTTTAGAGAAAATGGCTGATTTTGTACCAAAACATAAACTAGTATATTTGACCAAATAGGAGATAAAAAGCTTGAACAGATTAATAATCATGGAAGACACAGGAAAACAAAGTAGTGGTCTACCATTTCTAAAGACACCAGGCCCAGATAATACAAATGTTGCATTATATCTAACTTTTAGAGTACAAATAATTCCTAGTTTATCTATTCTCAACCAAAGAATTCATTTTATTTTGTGCATTATCATGTTCTTATTAACATAATAAAGATAGTTCAAAAAGAGAACACTGTAAGCAAATTCCATTTATGAATAAGGATGCAAACACTTTTAAATGATATCAAATAAGTTATGGCAGTGCATTAAAAGAACAACTCATCATAACCAATTTATAAAGCAAGTCACGTCAATGTCAAACATGTATAATGGAATTCAATAATTTTCTCAGTAGGACACAAGGCTCTTCAAGATCATTCTCTTTCTCCCTCTCTTCCTCTACACACACACACACACACACACACACACACACAACTATGATCATATGAATAAAACATTAAAGATGCATCTGGTTTCTTCCCAGAACCTCTTCTAGGCTTCCTTGTTCTTTTTCCTCATTCCTCAACCACTGACCCCCAGAGCATCTTTGGGGTGAGTAGGCCTAGCCCATGGTGTATTCCATCCCTCATGAAGAACCACTGGGGAATATTCCACAGAGAGCTACCCTCACACCTGTACCCCAGTACCTACCAGGAACTCTCTCCTCCTCAGATAACCTATTACCAGCTTCTCTCCCCAATGTCCACCTTTCTAATCTACCCTCTTCAGAAAGGGGAGAGCGTACCCCTCATTGCAGTTCCCTTGACCTTTCCTTCATGAGCGTGCTAGAACATCAGGGCCCAGAAAATACAAATCATCAGAAAATGTGGTAATGTGCACTTCCGTAGGAAGCGGCAATATCCACATGGTATTTTGTTGTCTGGTTCTGTCGGTTTGTAGGAGACAAATTCTCTGGAACAAGAGAATGGCCACAAACTCAAAAATGACAATCTATCATGACCTATTAGATAGAAATATTCACCACACAATGGAGCTCTGCTTCTCCTCTGATTCTTGATATAACAAATTGTTCATGGCACGGGCTCTGGAGAGAGACGGATATAAACCCCATGTTCAGCTCTGCATTTTCCTTTGTTTATATACCCTTGGGCAATTTGTTAGCCACTCTGAGTTTTAATTTTCCACATTTAATTTTCCTTAGTTACTCTCATCTGTGAAACAGGGGAACTAGTACATACCTTGTAAGCTTATTACAATAATTAAATAAGAAAAAAAAGATGTTCAGCACAGTGGCTAGCATATGCTGTGTGCAGTAAGTGTTAGCTGTTTCAGTATCTCCCCTAAAGTCCATGCTAGTAGATATTGCCACAGGTTTCCAAATTCTCACATCTGTTCAGGTAAATAAACTTGTTTAATGTACTCTTTCAGATCATTAGTATTTCTAACTAATATTGATGGGAAAAAGGCTTTTTTTTTTTTTTTACAAAACATAGTTAATACTTCTCACCAAACCATGGTTCATATTTGTTACTTCTATGTAAGGTTTTTTACCTGTATCTACTGCTAATTTGCTTCGCCTCTAATTGGCCTTCCCCCACTTTTCCCACGATTCTCAGCCACACTGCTGGGCTTAGTCCTTCGTAGGAAACCGGCATCTGAGCGTCTGCTTCCTCACGTGAGCGATTTTCAGTGCAATACGGGACCAGATGTCATGAGGGGGGAGTCTCCTGCATGGGTCCTCAGGAAAATGAAACTTAAGGACTAAGAAACGAATTTCCTGAAAATGCCTGATTTACAGAAAACTAAAAATTTACCCTTCAACCAGTGAATATCCACCAATAACCTCTCCCAATCCTCAAGCCAGTGAACCCGCTGCTTGGACTCTAGCTCATCTCCCCCTCCTCGGTCAGCACTCCTTGCCCATAAACACAGCCGGTCCCAAACCGGCCGCAGACTTAGCCGTAGATTGCTGCAGTTTGCCCACCCCAAACTGCAGTTTCTCTGCTATTCCCAAATAAACTCGATTCCTGGTAATCAAGCTGGCCCCAGTTTACCTCTTTATTTAGGTGGACACCCAGTTGAGGAGAATTTCTGCTCAGCATTTTCCATTCAGGAGTGACAAGGAAAGACAAATACTTAGGTGTGTGACAGACAGTGATGCAGCCTGTCGCCACGTCGGGCACCAGCCACACTGGGTAGAGTGTCCATGCCACCCTGGCTGACTGGGTGATCGTAGGCAGACCACTTTTGCTCTCTGAGCTTCATTTTTCTTATCCAAAAATCGGGATAATGCCTATTTCACAGAGCTGGTAAAGAACAAATAAGACAATGAGGCTATAAATCTCATGCATGCGGAAGAAATTACCCCTCAGCTGGCCTTCCTTCTCCACAAAATTTCAATTTTCCCTGTGTTCTCCTGGGTACTTTCTTTCATGCTGATATATGGAAGCCATTAAACAATCCTGAAGAGAAAGGCTGAGAACCTCTGGTTGTGGGCACGCAGTCTCACTCACAAGGACTTGTCTATTTGCTGCACGTTCAAGCCTTCCTAACGGTTTAGTAATAATACCTCTGATCTTCTGCAGTTACTTCACTGCATCAATTCTCCTTTTTGAATGAAAGTCCAAATTCCTAATTCCTAACATGCGCGCTTAGAAATGAACACCAGAGAAAATG